CCCCTACTTTCGCCATCCCCACCCCTCCCCCACTCACAAACACACCACTGTAAACATTTTAATATAATGTGAAAGAGCTGAAATATGGTAGTGTCAAGGAACAATATTATGATTAATGTATGATAGGAGTTACTGAGTTAATAGAAACTGACTTGAAGGGCATAGGAAAAGAAACACTACTAGTACTACTAGAGACTATGCTAGAAAACAAACTGAAAGTGAGAAGCACAATGAACTGCTGGTCATGGCCTCCGGTACTTTAACAAAAGACTTTTACTTTCTACTAAGTTTGTACACACACACACACACACACACACACACACACACACACACACACACACACACACACACACACAATATCGACCAGCACTCGACCTGTATATGTAATATAAGAACACACTGTATGATAGCAAAAAGTCAATTGATACTGTACCAATTACGCCGTCCCATGCAGATTAAGTCTACAATATACAAAGCTGGACAAAGTTAGCACACAACAGTTTTCCATCCTTATGTAATCAAACGTTCTTCATCTCACTTCTCAGTTTACAGAACACTGTTGTAACAAAGTGGGGAAGTGTGTCAAATGCTAATTATGGAACTTGGTGTCTAGCCCTGGGTCTAGCTAGGGTGACGGTGGATAAGGAGGCGGAAGGGAGGGGGTAGGCCCATTGTTTTAGGCCCAGACTCTGACAGCCGAGAGCCTTCGCTCCTCGTTATAATTCTCCTTATATATCTTCACTAGACGATTCCTCTTTTCGCCGGCTAAACTCATATGGGCCAGGTACGTTATTAGTGGGGAGAAAGCGATGAATAGTCACCAAACAGGAACTATAGGTGGCTAAAAATTCAATAAACAAAAAAGATTAGTGCCATGCTGACAATAAATGTTCTGATGATAGTAGAAAAAGACTGAATGATAAGTACATACATGTATTGAGCTGATAAAATATTTCATGTGTCTGTACTGCTCAAGACTCAAGACAGTCTCATTACTGATTTTGCAAGCAACACACAAAAGGCCAATTTGGCAATCAAGGGATGATATATGTAATATATTCGCTGTTAGTAGTCTCAGGGCAGTCGATGGATTTGTACCAGTGGAGTGACTTCATCGCTGTACCCGCCGTGTTCGTTTGTCCACCTACGAAGTTCCGCAATGTGACGGTTTGACGGGAGATGATATAAAGTTACGAGCCGGTGCGATAAACAAAGGTGAAGGAATGGGGCTCTGTCGCGACAAAACAGCAGTGAATCCTACTTGTCTATTTGAACGCCTTCATACCGGGAAGGTGCTTTTTGAATGTCGATACATGTTTATTCGGCTTTACTTAAGGGAGTGCTTATTTAGGCCACATATGGCCTAAGTAAGGCAAGGGAGGGGGGGTTTAGCTTATTTAGGCCACACATGCTCAAACTACCCTTTTCAGGCAACTGAGTTCGTTCCACTTTCATAGTGGTGCACCTTTCTCATTTAGAACGGTTTTGTCTCAGTGTACAACTTATAAATCATAATCATAATGAACAGGGGCGAAGGCTGACTTGTTTGACAGGGTAATCAAAGTAAAACGGGACCAGATATGGCCTGGGGATATCACACAAGAACCTTTCTCGAGGCGGCGACTCAGAGTTGTGAATGAAAACCAATCCGGAATTCATTATTGTATGTTCAACCGCCAAAATAATCGTGAAAGTATCTTATTAAATATCAATTCCAATTAAAATTAAATTTAACTTTAGATGTGAATACACAAACACAAAGCAAAGAAGCAGAGATGTCAGTACTAAATCTATATGTTATAGATCTACGAGGGAGTCTAACTCTTTGGTAGAACATGACAATTATCATTTTAAAAAATTCTCATTTGGCTGTTTTTTTGTTTAGCCTTTCGTGGCCACGAGCTTGTGTCATAATCGAGGTCACGATCTGATTATAGGGCAGTAAAAAGTCGAGGAAAAAAATACAAGCAGTCACAGCAGTGAGAGATTATTAGGAGTTAGTTCCCCTCACATCTGTGAGGTAGACTCGACCAGTGTAATAGTTAGCTTACCTGACCAGTGCTTGAGACTGATTATAAATGTGGCCTGAAAGGGGTGAACAGGGTATATGTGGCAATGACTGCTATACACATGTTCCCTTCAACTCCTTTGGTAGACTCTCCAGTCTCACTTTAAGCTTACTTAATCAAAGCTTGTGACTGCTTATGGAGTGGCTCAAGAGGGGTGAACAGGCTATTGCAGTGGCAATGAAACCGTTTAGAATGCTAAGCATACTGTTCATTGTTGATTATGAACGTCTTTTTACATTTAATTTATGAAGTTTATGTTTATGGGTGAATTTGACTGTGACAATGTTTCAAAATTAGGAAGGGAAGCAGTGATTATTTGATTATATAGACGCTTCGCCTCTGATAATGAATATTGTAAAGAACAAAACACAATACGCAAAATTTTGCTCAATCCCAATGGTTTGAATAAGGGCCAGATTTTTCCTTCATGGAGGGGCAAAAGCTAGGCCACCATTTTGGCACACTTTGGTCAAGTGAAAAGGTCAAATCCTCCGAATGGACTTCCGGGTTAAATTTGGGGTATAAAAAGTGTGTACACTACGTGGCTGAGTCAAAGTTACACTATCTTTTTCTGAGTGACACTCTCTCGTACTGTCTCGTAGTAGTACATGTAGTAGGCCTAGTAGTAGTACAGTGGAGTCCACTTATAACGAGTCGGAAAAAACGAGAAGTCTGTTATAAAGACACTATTCTAAAACCCCGTTTTTTTTCTCATCTTTACCTTTGTAAATAAAAAACTGCTATAGCGCAATCAGACAAACACGCGAGTCGGTTATAGTGGAATATTGCTGCTGCTGTGCGCAGTGCATGGGCCAGTTATACATAATGTAAAACCTCGCCAGTTGAGAAACTAGTTGGTGATCTAGCGAAACAAAGAATGGGAGAGTCCATGTGTGTCAACAATGAAGGCCGGGGCGACCGAGTAGGGAGGGTATGGGATGCGCAGACAAGCAGAACGCATCGCGTGATGAAAGGCCAGCGCAAGCCTAGTTTAGATTATCAAGGCCTACCATACCTCTCACTTCTCCGATGCGGGGATGGAGAAGTCACAGCAATTAATGGAAGGAGTGAACGTGTGACGTGCGCAAACTGACGGAATGCACCACAGGGTGTGGTGGGGTGGGGGAAAACACAGCGGGTGAATTAGCCCAGAGCCGTTTCTTTCTGATCACCAACTCCGAGCTATCAGTCAACATCGCTTGAGAAAGAAACCTGATTCGATTTTTGATCAAGTAAAACCTAGAGTCATGTTGAAACAAAATCATCATCAGGGGAGATAGCAAAAGGAAATAAACAGAACACCAAACTCATAGATTAGGCCTACTTTACGGTTTCCCTTGAATTTATTACTAGATCTCTTATAGCGAGAATCCTGCTATAACGGACATTTTGCTCCCGTCCCCTCCCTTTCGTTATAACAGGATTCCACTGTAGTAGCAAAGATCGTGTAGAGAATCTTTGGTAGTAGATAGATTCTATCTAGTAGGCAGTTTAGTGAATGTGCTCGAGGCAGGGCGAATCGGCCTCGATAAGCCCCGTAGACTTTTGTGATCGGCCACGAAGCCTCGTGTTTTGATGGGTTTAGATCTAGATCTAAACAACTCACTGTTAATCGCACTGCCACATCCGACAGGCCTAGATCTACATCTTTTTAAAAGGAAAAGAAAGATCATCACAATGGTTGAATTCGCGTGAAAATCGATTCGGTAGAACAAGAACTATTAAAATTTGCTTCTGAAAACAAGGCAATTTTTATACGAAGGCTATTTTTATAACTCGATGAAATAAAAACTACTGGCTGTGTACTATGTTATTCTGTATAAATTATGAAACTTCAGGACGTATTATTATTTTCCAGCATCTTCTGACGCCTGAGCTGTAGAGGTTGAAGTTTTCACAACACTAATAGATCGATCTAGTAATAGGGCTTTCCGTAAAAAATGCATAGATCTACAAAAACCGAATCGACCGGTCAGCGACCCGGGCACCTCGCTCTCCCCTGCACACTGTGGTAACGTGTTGCTTCGGTATCGCATTATTCAACTATTAATACGTGCGGCTACATATGGCAATTGGGATGTACTGACTGACAAAAAATTCAGTTTTGTTTTTATTTTACCATATATTTGACTTTAATAGTGCAGGCGATAGCTAGATCTAGATTCCCTGTCTAGAATCAGTAGTAGCAGGCCTATGCTAGAAGCAGCCAGAGAACCTACTACTGCTAGATCTAGATCTAACTTATTGCTATGCCTTTGGGCTTTGGAATTGAAGTAAAACGAATTGCACTGTTCTAGTTACTTTTAGATTCAGCAACTAACTGTATTTCCAGTTAATAATAACAAATCTCAGCATAACAATCATTTTTACTTTTATTAGAATAATTAGATCCAACTTTTTTTCCTCTAAAATCTGTTTTGCGCAAACTTAAGATTTTTTCTACATGTACAGCACAGAATTTACATTGTAAGCCTAGCTGCTCAACAAAATAAAATACACACACACACACACACACACACACACACACACACACACACACACACACACACACACACACACACACACACACACACACATACATAGGGAGAGAGAGAGAGAGAGAGAGAGAGAGAGAGAGAGAGAGAGAGAGAGAGAGAGAGAGAGAGAGAGAGAGAGAGAGAGAGAGAGAGAGAGAGAGAGAGAGATCTATATAATCATTTTATGTTATTTTCGGGATACTTTTAAAACTCTTTTTTTTAACATGTCATCAAATCAAATTGTGCCATTTTCTTTGATAAGAATAACATTAGCAGTGGACTTTTTAGACGGCGAGTCTCTGAATCAATATTTTTAAAAAATATGCTAATCAATGAAAATTGCAAATTGTATATAGTTTAGTCCTGTAGAGGCTAGGTGGACTCCGGGGTCTGCAGAGCGAAACACTAGGTTTTAGGATGTGAACCCCGGAGTCACCGTAGTGAAATAAGGTTTGGTTTAAGTAAGGATTGGTGGACCCCGTAGTGATAAATAAGCAGGTTTAAGGTGGACCCCGGGCCCCAGGGTCTACCTAGCGAAGTACTAGGTTTTAGGACAGGTAGACCCCGGGGTCACCGTAGTGAAATAAGTAGGTTTCTTTAAAAATTGGTGGACCCCGGGGTCAGCGTAGTGAAATAAGTAGGGTTAATTTTAAAAGGATTGGTGGACCCCGGAGTCACCATAGCCGTAGAGGAATAAGAAGGTTTAATTAAGGATTGGTGGACCCCCGGGGCACCTTGATTAAACCTACTTATTTTACTATGGTTCCACCTATTCTAAAACCTAACTAGTATTTTGTTATGTAGACCCTGGGGTCCACATTAAACCTACCTATTTCACTACATTGACTCCAGCAGGGTCCACCAATCCTTAAAATTAAACCTAGATCTACATGTACTTATTTCACTACGGTGACCCCAGAGTCCACCAAATAAAATTAAACCTAGATCTACTGATTTCACTATGTTGACCCCGGGGTCCACCAATCCTTAATTAAACCTAGATCTACTTATAATTTCACTATGTTGACCACGGACTCCGCCAGTCCTAATATAAGATAAACTGAGATCTGCTTATTTCACTATGCTGACTCCGGGGTTCACATCCTAAAACCTAGCATTTTGTTAGGTAGACCCCGGAGTCCACCTATCCTTTTGGCTAGATATAAGACCCCGTGGTCCGCCTATCCACTTCCTTGATAATAACTGAAAACAATACATGCCAATTGTCATGAATAGTGAAAAAAAATGTTTTAAAAAAAAGATAAGGAGGTAGACTATAATTTGTCAAAAGCATTGCTAGTGCAAGTGAAGACCATAAGATAATTTTGTTATTTTCTGGTCATCTTTTCACAGTTTATAAAATGTTCCAGTGGGCCTACTACTAGATCTATGTCTCTGAAGAACATTTTGCTTGACTTTATTAGCTTTTTTCATGTTCTTGAAAGCATAGAATATATAGTTTCGCACAAATGTAAGCACAATACTTTGAAAAAGAAAGATAAGTTCATTGTTGTTGTTTTTTAACGGAATCCGTTTTACGTTGAGAAAAGCGCTAAAAACAAGTTAAAATTTTTTAAGAATGCCCATAATATTAGGAATCCGAAATTACTACCTTGATCTATAGTTGGCTTACTCTTTAATAACCATGAGCAGTTAAGAAAAAAAAAGAGAGAGAATGATATAGGATTTGTCTAAATATGACCATTAGCAATAAAGATATTGCCCATTTTGTCCAATTATCCTTGCAGGTAAAATCACCCTGTACTGTACCTCAATAAGCACAAAAAGAATATTTCTATGACTTTGTATAAAGGTGTTTTGTAGTTGAGTTCTATGTAAAATTCTCAACAAAATAATGTACATTTGGACCGTACAACTGAGATAGACACTCATGCACACAATAACATTCACACATTACACACACACACACACAAACACACACACACACACACACACACACACAACCCCCCCCCCCCCACACACATACAAACACACTATTACATTTACTCTCTCTCTCTAGATCTCTCTCTCACCACAACCACACACAAAACAAACACATACACACACACACGCAGACACACACACACATACACACACACACACACACACACACACACACACACACACACACACACACACGCACACATACAGACACACAACTCTTACCCTTGGTCCACTTTTCATTTAGTATCATCCTCTATTTTGAAATCCCCCGCACTAAATAAAAAGATCAGTAGAATCTCGACCTTCCAAATCCAAGGTTAGTTCAAGAAATCTACTATAAAATGTGGCCATACTAAGGTAAGGGAGGGGGGTTTAGCTTATTTAGGCCATATGTGGCCTAAATAAGGTCACCCTTTACTTAAAACTGACTGAATGAAAATCATCATCAGCAATAAATCTCTTGTCAACAGTTGAGCTGACAAAAATTTGACCGGCACCGCCGGTCTTGCCCAGTTAACAAACCGCCCCTGTGGCTCGCTAGTGTTTGTTTCTGACTTCTTTTATTTTATCTTTGTGGGTGCTTTTCGTAATAGAACATTAACAAATTTGGGCGGCACTGCACGACCGTGCCCTATGGACGAACCGCGCCTGATGTAAGCCTATTTGATAGAAGTCTGCCTATTTTTCTAACTTCCATTCTCTAGCAATCGCATTACATCGTCTTGTGTACTACTCTAGGAAACATCTTTTGGTGTGCATTTAATATATGATGAAGGCCAGTAGTAGCCAAGACACAGTAAGAACGTTGTTCGCCAGTCTTGGGTATTGGGTATTATGCCTTATCTTTGATGAATAGAGTATCAAAGATCGTACACAACAATCTTTGATAGTAAGCCTATAGTATATTATGCAACTTCAGGGATATAACTCATCGAGACATACTAATTTCTAACGAGTTACCTCCCCTAAGACTTAATGGCCGTCGTTGTCAATACAAACAAGCATCCCGAACAAGGGATCTGCACTGCGAATGACATCTAGATCTAGATCTACAATCTAGTATTAAATCTACTTTGATGTTCCTGGTATTCTAAGAATTATTGGTAACTCAACAAATTTTACTTTAGAAAGGACCCTGTTTTAGTTTACGGTTAACATTTAGGCCTAGATCTAGATCTAGATCTACATATAATATAATGACGTGATGAGTGAATATGTTAGAACGTCTGGCAGCTTTTATTTGACACGCTTACGATCTGTTGACTTCCGACTTTTCTGACCTGAATTAATGAATGAGTCTATTATCTAGATATCTATAGCCTAGGCCTACTTTATAGTATTGAGCTGTAAAATTACTTCTTTTGATAGACGCACAAGCAAGGCGGAAGCTTTTAGAGATGTATAGATCTAGACTCGTAAATGCCTTTGCCCTGTTAATCACTGCATGCTTTAATAAAGGCCAGCTCTATATTCAGACTAAGTCCGAATATAATTTTTATCTTTGTTATGTTTTAGATGACATGAGTGGACAAACACTCAGTAAGCAGCCTTGTTACTTGTTTTTTGCTTTTGTTGGGCTCGACTACTACAGGACGCAACGAATAGAATACCGAATACAACCACGGGCAACAACACCACGACATCTTCCCTTCATTAAAAAAAAATTAAAGTGCAAACATCTTAGGCCTTCTGTGGTTGAACTGCGTAATGCACTGTATAATATAGTAAGGTTGACAATGTTTATATAATGCTGTAAGCTGTGTGGGCCCATGCAAAGTTCAGTAAAACATCCATCATCAGCCGTAGGTCGACGTATGTCAAGTGTCCAGGCCTCATTTTGCTGTTGGTGCACAAATTTTTTTGCCTTTTCAACATTTAGAATTTGAATTTTGACAAGTCCGTATATGAGTTCAATCTATTCGGACTCAGGTCCGAAGAAAAAGTTTTATTTATATTCGGACTCTGCTTCTAAGTGCGGTTATGTGAGTGTAGGGAGGTTACATAATATAACTGTTGTCGGGGGATTTTACGTAAAACCAGAATTAGAACTTCTGTCCGAGAAGGCAAGGTGTAGATATTTTCAACCAGAAGATCAGGGTGTGGCTGAAAGACAACAGTAAGTTATCAAGGAGCCTTATAGGAGTAACAGTGGAAAGGCTGCAGTAAGAGTCAGGAGGCTAGATCGGAGGGGGCAAAGGGGGTGGGGGCAGAGAGTGGAACGAAAGCAAACGACAGAACATTGCTGGAGAGCAGGAAAGGAGGTGAAGGAGACAATTTTAAAGAAGAAAATTTTTCCGTCGCTTCCTGGATTGGAACCCGGGACCTTTGAATGAGAGGCAAACACCTTAACCTCTAGGCCACGAGAGCCTCCAGCTGATGTTGGAGGTCCTGGCAACAGTACAAATGCACAGAGCATGTCAATGGTTCAATTTCTCAAATGTTGAGTTAAACCTCTTTCTAAGGTAACATTGATCAAATGTTATTATGGTTTTTGACAAACAAAGACCTAAACTTCATTTTTAGATGCAAGTATCAGAAAAATTCTGCCACGTTGTCTGGGAAAAAATGTATATTTTCTATTTTTTAATGTAGATGCAGTGAACATGAATTGATGCTCCAACATCATAACATGACCTACTTTTTGGACTACTTAAGTATTACTCATGTATTGACAACTAAAAAGTGTAATCTTTTTGTGATAGATAGCCAGTATATATCCAGCCACATTTACACACATATATATCAAACTTAGCAACCATATCCATAGGTAGCCATTTGTCATTTTTTGTGGTTTATTGTGTTTTTCAGGATGGTCATTGGTTTCTGCCACCGTTGACATGAACATTCACGTCATTGGCCGAATTCGGCCAAAGAATAGAGGAGAAGGGCTACCTTTGCAACTAGAGGCCTCAAATAGAGTAGCAGCAAGACCTGGAGGACCTTATTATGGGTAAATATTAGTAGGTTTTTTTTTTTTTCATCTGATAGTTCATAAGATTTTGCAGAGTGTGCTAAAAATTAATTAAATATAACATAATCTGTAACTTGTGAAAATAAGCAAAGCTGTTAACTGCAGAATTCAAACTCAAACACTTAAATGCTTGTACGTAAATTGCATAACTTCTCTCCAGCCTCATTTGGAGAGACCCATTTTTCCTTTCCATGGCCTACTTCTCTTCATTTAATTGATTTAGAGAGAATTCAGTGGTCATGAAATGCAGTTCAACATGTTCAGCATGACCAACCACCGTGTAATCAATCACAGTAGCGCAAGACATGCCATTTTCACTTATTATTCCATCGGCATTGAGTCCTGCCTGCATTACATAGAAAGACAGAGAATAAAATAGTTTGGCCACGGTGGCGATGGGTGGTTCTAAATGTGGGTGGGGCTGAGAAATCAGGGTAGGGACAGATCAAAGGTAAGATTTCCTTGGTTCAGAGGACATTCCAGATATGTGTGAGTATGTTTCATTCACACGCTCACACACAAACGCACTCATATGACCTTATACAGTTGCCAGCGCCGTAAAACACTTATAAAAAAAAAATTAAAAACATTGATTAAACACACAAACGCACCCATACAACAGTAACTGCATTAGGCCGTGGGGTCTCAGAAAGCAAGGCATTCCTAAAATGTGAGCCTGTGAGCGAGTTTTGGTTACTGTGTCTCTGGGGAAAGTATGTCATGAACTTTCCTCCCATTGTCTGGGCTGGCAGAGAACAAACCCTCTCTAACAGCAGTTTCCGTGGGCTCTCGTTTGTTTCTTTTACCCTTTTTCAAGAAGAGTTTCATAAAAAAAGAACCGTGGGAATGGGCTCATCCTTTGCTCAGCCCTAAACACATTTGATTGGCTGCTAGGTTAATATTGTTGTAAGCGGTGACTACAGTGATTGGATAAACGAACCAGCGTGTGTGTTCACCGCATGCAACTAAAGGCGGAGGCAGAAAATTCTGAAACTGTTCTTACGGTAATTATCTCGTTTATATTTAAACATTTATTTATGGAGGGAAAAAGTTGGAAGAGGGTGGGGCTCATGCCCTTTAGCCCTTCACTATGCCCCGCCACTGTTTGGCCACCTGTTACATACCTCCGACCTCGAGAGCCCACACACCAAGCAATCAGGCTATAAAGGAAGAGGAAAGCCACGCAAAAGGTGGATCAAGGGTGTCAAGGAAACCCTTAAAAAACATGATATTACAACTGAAAGAGCTCCGGAGCTGGTTTACTATAGAAAACTGCATCTCCCCTCGACGCTTAACGGCAACAGAGGATGAAAAAGTAAAGTAAAGTAATTCTATTGTGAGTCTCAAGATCTATCTTATCCAGTTGCTTCTCCCAGTTACCTGCTCCAGATATATAGCTTTCCGTCTCTGACCGATTTCTCCCGCCTTTGTCTGTACACACTATTGTGTTGTGACCACACCAATTAAAATTCAGTTTATCTCACAAATGCTGCAAGAGAGACAACTGCTACAATGATCAGGATCCCGCTTTAAGCGAACTTGTATAGGCCCTACCCACCCAGCGTGTGATGTAAGTTTTGGGTAAAGAGCTCAGATGTAGTGTGATCCTGTCTGGGGCACAAATTGTATCGTTTCATCGAGATTTACATCGGACAAGTGATCACATTCAAATTCACGAGAGTGGCTGATCTGTGATGGAGCGGGCTGTCCAATGATCTCAACTTTTCACTCTTGCTTGATCTGCTGTGCCTGATGCATTTTTGTTCTGTAAATTATGATCTGAAATGCGGGATTTTAGCTTGCTGTAGATCTTCAGAGCGGGATCTTAGGGGTGACTTTTACGAGTAAAATGCAGTAAAAATTATGTTTGCTAAAAAAGGGATCTTAGGGGAACTAGGATCGTAAGTGGTGGGATCTTGGGCGGAGACGATTATATTCTGTTGTGCTTGAGAGAAAATAATTTCCTTTTACTGTTATAGTTTTACAAAACTTACAGATAATCTGAGTGTTATTCATCCTCCTCCTCTTCATCATTCTTTTCACTGGTTGGAAAGTTTCCAGGATGTAATTATTAAGAGAAAGGATTAATGAGAAATCCACAGGTAACACTGTTAGAGGATGAAGCAGTTACAATCTTTTTCATGGGGTTAAAGCTTTTGACTTTGTTAGAGTTAATTTAAGTTTGTTTGTTTTAGTAGAGGTTTTAAGACGCTCGCAACTGCATACAGTCATATGAGCGCCAAGGGGTGGATGTCAACAGAGTCCTTACAGGGAATCAGAATTACTCTGCTCACCTCTCTAGCTTCAACAGCACAAAGCTTCGACTATCAAGGCACCCCGGAAATACCAGTTCACAAGAGTTTGACAAACATACAAAAGAAGTAGAGGTAAAAGGACAATAGTAAGGATTAGGAAAGAAAAAGCAGCAGTTCCCTGTTGCAGTTCAGGCACAGTTATGAGCATGACATTGATGAATCAGCCTATTTACAATTCTACTGTGCATAAGAACATTTTCATGTCTCCCCTTTGGGACAATTTAGGTTAGATATTGCTGTTTGGATTAGAGAACAGAGATGTTGTTTTGCAATACAAAAGTCCTTCTTAGACATCCTTCTATCGGGATCACTGTCTTCAAATGAAAGACATGGCAAATTTTTAATAGTTGCAATTCAAGGCTCCATTCGACTTGTCTATTTAAAGTATGATTGGCCCCAATTTATTTGAGTTTCAGGTGAATTATGAAAGGGTGTAGTTTTACTAATTAGAGTTCATGTTTTTTAGTTATCAGTAGCAGTAGATCTCTTACTACTTTCAGAATAAAAATGTAAATGGTTGACTACTCTGTGTCCTTAACTGGTTGATTAATTCAGATCAACATCCCACTCTTACAAGATATAGAAAAGGCTAGGCCATTCTTCAAATTCTCAAAATAGCCCCGAATCTTTCTAATAACTCGAAAGTAGTTGTTGGGTGCTACTAATAGGTTCAACTTCTATAATATCCCTCTGACTGTCTGTCTTGGGTTTTTTTCACCCTTAGTTGGCTGTTATGGTATTGGTGTTTGTCTCCTTAACTTGCAATCCCTCCTCATCATCATTACATGGTTCAGAGATTACTGTGCTCAGCCTTAATACAGACTGCACGTGACCTAGTTTTTTAATTTCATAACCCAGACTTAAAGCCTCTGGCATTCTCATTCATCAGATGCAAATTTTGACAGGGTAATCTTGTTAGTGTTTGCTGGTTCTTGGGTGAAGGTTTTGTGAGGTATGAGCTGGTTTAGAAAGACATGGTTATCAGTTATTTAACGTTTCTCTCTCACCTCCCACTCCCCCTCCTCCCCTACGTTTCTCTCTCACCTCCCACTCCCCCTCCTCCCCTTTTTTGTATTTTCTTTCAGATTTTCTGAATTGTTTACTCAAAAGAGTACAACCTATGATGTGTTCAAAGGATCTGTCGGAGCAATGGTCGATCTATTCTTGGGAGGCTTTAATGTTTGTTTGCTCATCTGCGGCGAAAGTGGAGCTGGAAAGTCTTACTCATTGGCTGGAGATGGACAGAGCAAGGCTGGTCTTGTTCCGATAATGATAGACCATATTTTTACCAGGCTCATGAAAGGTAAGGAATTTAGTTCACTTTGTTTGACATTGATTGTTGACCTCCAACCCACTTTGAAGTAAGTAAAGTAAGAAAATACTTATTTACTCTCTCCTTATACCCTTAAGGTACATAAGGCGGAGAGCAGTCGACGCCACGCTTGTCTGTTCCTGGCCACGTCTTCCAATTTCTGCAAATTCAGGCCCTGGGTGATTGCCTCATCTCTTATTGCGCCTCTATAGCTTTCAGTTGGTCTTCCTCATTTTATTTGTCCAGTTGATTTCCAGTACCCTGTCTGATATAGGAATCTTGTCTTCGGCATTCTTAGAACATGTCCTAGATATCTCCACCTTCTCCTTTTCATGGTTGTGTTGATAACTTCAATTCGATCTATTTCCAACCCTTCATTATTTGTAATAAATTCATTCCATTTTATTAGCAAAATTCTTCGTAAACATTTTGTTTAGAAGCTTTTAAGAATTTATTATTGCCTGCTTATGCACATGAATTTGGGCAGTGGCCTGACTTTATTTTTTAACCATGAACACTAATTTCTGTAGAAATATATGCATGCTTGGTTTTGCTCAGTCAAGAAAGAAATAACTTATGAGAATGATTTTTTCGTTTTTTTCAGATAGTCATGGTTCCAATAAAAAAATGTCACTGAGCAACCCAAGACTAAGCATGCAGGTAGTTGAGATTTACAATGAAGTCATCAAAGATTTGATGGAATTGCCTGGACAAAGATCAGCCTCCTTGGTCCTGAAAGAAGATGCACATAAAGGAGTATACATTGAGGTATGCTTCACTGTTTTATTGGAAGATGTCAATCCACTAACACAGTGTGATATGATGTGTGTGTGTGTGTGTGTGTGTGTGTGTGTGTGTGTGTGTGTGTGTGTGTATGTGTGTGTGTGTGTGTGTGTGTTTGTGTGTGTGAGTGTAATAAATCCTTCGACATGGGAGAGCCTCACTCCTGACAAATCCAGCTTGAGAGCAGCAGTCACAGTGAGCAGCAAATCATATTAGGTTTCACAAATAAAAAATACTCAAACCAGGAGAGAAGGCCGCAAGCTTGGCACATCCATAAGGGGGGGCTCTCATGGCCTAGAGGGTAAGGTGTTTGCCACTCATTCAAAGGTCCCGGATTCGAATCCGGGTAGTGACAGAAACATTTTCTCTAAAATTGTCTTCTTTCACCTCCTTTCATGCTCTCTAGCAATGTTCCGTTGTCTGCTTTCGTCTCCACTTTATGCTTCCACCTCCTCACCCCCTTTGCCCCCTCCTCTGGGCTCCTGACTCTTTCTGCAGCCTTTCTACTGCTACTCCTTGGCTCCTTACTGTTGTCTTTCAGCCACACCCCTGATCTTCTGGTAGGAAAGATCTACACCTAGCCTTCTCGGACAAGGGTGAAAAATCTCGGAGGTTCCATGTGCAAGTTGCGCACGTTAAAGATCCCTTGGTGGTCTAAAATCGATAAAAGTAGGCTTCGGCCGCCACCCCTGGCAAAATTCAAAATTTCCAATCAACTGAAAATGTTTAATGTGTCCCGCGCGTTCATATGACCTTATGAAGTTGCGAACGCCGTAAAACACTTACAACCCCCCCCCCCCCCCCCAAAAAGCAAAAAATATCAGCAAGTCAAAGTAGCCTTTAAATATTCAAAATGTTGTAAAGTTTGCTCAGCCAGATTTGACCTCATTTGTTACAGCAGAAGTCACAAGCCTCAAGTCATTGTAATTGTAACCTTTAATTCTTCAAGTTCTTCTATTTTGATGGAGAAATATTCTCCTCTGTAGATGTATTGATCATCATCGGACATTGACGGATGAACTGTGTGTGTGTGTGTGTGTGTGTGTGTGTGTGTGTGTGCGCGTGCGTGCGTGTGGTCTGTGTGTGTGTGTGTGTGTGTGTGTGTGTGTGTGTGTGTGTGTGTGTGTGTGTGTGTGTGTGTGTGTGTGTGTGTGTGTGTGTGTGTGTGTGTGTGTGTGTGCGTGTGTGACTGGCTGATAGAAGAAATGGAGGTTGGTTTCAGAGGTCATGCCTCATAGATAATCTTACTGTGTTGAAAGGGGCTCTCATTTTTAAAATGTTCTCTGTTTGGGATGGCTTTACCGAACTCCAACAACAGTAGGGCCTATGTGCTATATATATAGCTGTGTCTACCTGCCTGCCTGGCTGCCTGGCTGCCTGCCTGGCTGCGTGTGTGTGTGTGTGTGTGTGTGTGTGTGTGTGTGTGTGTGTGTGTGTGTGTGTGTGTGTGTGTCTGCTTGTCTGCCTACCTACCTATCTGCCTGCCTGCATGCCTGCCTGCCTGTCTGTCTGTGTCGATCTGTCTGTCTGTCTGTCTGTCTGTCTGTCTGTCTGTCTGTCTGTCTGTCTGTCTGTCTGTCTGTCTGTCTGTCTGTCTATCTGTCTGTCTGTCTGTCTCTGCCTATCTGTCTGTCTATCTGTCTGTCTGTCTAAATGCCTGCCTGCCTGCCTGCTTACCTACCTGCCTGCCTGCTTACCTACCTGCCTGCCTGCCTGTCTGTCTCTCTGTGTTTTTCTGTCTGTCTCTCTGTGTCTGTCTGTCTGTCTGTCTGTCTATCTGTCTGTCTGTCTGTTTGTGTCTAACTCTCCACTCTCCCTGTTTCTATCCCGTGCCTCTATAATACATGCATTTCAGTACACCAGAACATCTTTTGTTTCTAACATGAAATAAATGTTGCCAATTGCTCTAGCATATTTAAAGAATACCGCACAAAAATGTATTGCTGATTGTGTTTTAGTCTTTTGATTGAACTGGCATCTTCGGTATAAGGGTTAGTTCCAACTGAACATTTTTTTTTATCGAGCATTTCGGTATTTTTGCTGTGATGTTCTTTCCCAGCCTGAGTTGGCTCAAACAGCTCGCCACATAAATAGTCGGAATTGTGTCGATGTAAATTGTAAAAAAAAACGCCTACAAATTAAAAAAAAAAAAGAAGAAAAGTCAAACCAACATGTGCACGAGTAGCCCCCCCCCCCTCAAAAAAAAAAGTTTACTTTTGTGTTGCATAAGACCAGAGGCCGTAGATAAGCTACAGAAAATCGGACAGGTTTGTTGGAAAACATCGTTCCAAGCATGTATACTTTGCAATAAATGTACATTCATTTTCGTCTTTGAGCTATAAGTGAGTGCTGTCGGGAGACGAGCATGCTCATTGGTGGTCTCTCATGAGTTGTTATGGCGCCGAGAATGTCACACCATAGGCCTATTGCGTACTAACTGCTCCATTGAGAGCCCGTTCTCGAAGTCATAGTCGGGGGCTCTCGTGGCCTGGAGGTTAAGGTGTTCGCCTCTCATTCAAAGGTCCCGAGTCGAATCTGGGTAGCGACGGAAAAATTTTCTTATCTAAAATTGTCTCCTTTCATCTTCTTTCATTCTCTCTTGCAATATTCTGTCGTCTGCTTTCGTCTCCACTTTCTCCCGCCACCCCCTCACACTGGGCTCCTGACTCTTTCTGCAGCCTTTCAACTGCTACTCCTTGGCTCCTTCTTACTGCTGTCTTTCAGCCACACCCTTGATCTTCTGGAAGGAAAGATCTACACCAAGCCTTCTCGGACAAGGGCGAAAAATCTCGGAGGTCCCGTGTGCAAGTTGCGCACGTTAAAGATCTTTTGTTGGTCCAAAATCGATAAGAGTAGGCTTCGAACGCCACCCGAGCAAAATTCAAAATTTCATGCCAATTGAAAATATTTAGTGTGTCCCGTACGCTCATATGACCTTATGCAGTTGCGAGCGCCGTAAAACACTTACCCCCCCCCCTCACCCCGAACGAAAAAGTCGTAGTCTTGGAGTCAAAAGGCTGAGGCGTGCGCTGGGATCTCTATCGTTACGAGAACCACTATGGAAAAAATGGTGAAATGGTTTAGGTTTAACGCCCCTATCAACACTGTTAGGATATTTATGATACAGGACCTCCGAGTTTAACATCCATCTCCGAAAGGACCGAGCCAAGTGGGAAATTCGTGTTAAGTGCCTTTCCCTAGAACACAACGTCGGACCGAGCTGAGGCTCGAACCCTCGAACTCGCAATCTCATGATTACGAATCCGGTGGCCTACTATCGACACAATTTTAGCCAGTTCGGAGGCGGGCTGCTTCGACCCTTCCTGCCTGACAGGGCTAACCTGGGCTGAGAGGGATGTAACGTCCAAGCAGAAAGACTGCTGAGACAGACAGTTGGGGATACTCAACAAAGAAAAAAAAAACGGAAAAAAAGAAAAAAAACAACTCCTTCCGGCAAGGAAATCGAACTCGGGATTGTGTCGATTGGGCTGGAAACACTGACTTGTTTTAATTTCTTTTTTTTGTTGTGTAAATGTTTTACGGCGCTTGCAACTGCATAAGGTCATATATATGAGCGCACGGGACACTTAAAACATTTTCATTTGGTAGGAAATTTTGAATTTTGCCCGGGTAGCGGTCGAAGCCTACTCTTATCGATTTTAGACCATCAAGGGATCTTTAACCTGCGCAACTTGCAGAGAGTTTTCGTCCTTGTCCGAGAAGGCTGGGTGTAGATCTTTCCTGCCAGAAGATCAGGGGTGTGGGTGAAAGACAGCAGAAAGAAGGAGCCAAGGAGTAGCAGTAGAAAGGCTGCAGAAAGAGTCAGGAGCCCAGTGGAAGGGACAGAGGAGGTGAGGGGGTGGGGGCAGAAAGAGAAGACGAAAGCAGACGACAGAACATTGCTAGAGAGCAAGAAAGGAGGTGAAAGGAGACAATTTTAGAGAAGAACATTTTTCGGTCGCTACCCGGATTCGAACCCGGGACCTTTGAATGAGAGTCCAACACCTTAACCTCTAGGCCACGAGAGCCCCCTTGCTTAAATAGGAAAAACGAGCTCTCGTCTTCTTCATGTGACAGCAAAGTAAGTGCTTATAACCTCTGGACCACTGACGCCAGTTCGTTCTACGTGCTACAACCCAACGTGCTCAGGAAATGGCCTCTGTGAGGGCAAACAGGCTGCCTTCCTCTCTTTTATGACAACCGTTGTCTGCGCGTAAACAAGACGTTCCGTTATCAAACAGAACGCATGGGTGGTTGGTGGGTGCTCTGGTGTGGTTTGCTCCTTCTTTCCTATCAAACATATATCGTCCTATTCTCTCCTCCTTCTTTTTTGTGTTTGTTCTTCTCTTGTAACACCTCTAATCTTCGTCACTTATATATGACCTTATTGTGTTGCAAGGGCTACAAAATTCTGACTAAAACTAAACTAAAAACAGGACGTTGGAGCTTTTCATCATCATCATTGCCTTTCTCACCCTGGATCAGGATGTAGGCCACGAACAAACACTCTCCACCTTTCCCTATCCTCGGCTAGTCGCTTGATGTCACTCCACGTCTTCCCACTTTTCTGTACATCCATTTCCGTGACTCTTCTCCAGGTTCCACGTGGTTTTCCCCTTGATCTTTTACTCTGTGGGTTCCAATCTAACACTTTTCTTGTTATACAGCTTCTTGACTTCCTGAAAGTGTGTGTTGGAGCTTTTGCTGGTCGTTAACTCCGCTCTGGACGCTCTGCAGTCATATCGTCCGTTGTTAATCGGCGTCTGTAGTGTTGCAGTTAGGCACACAGGAGAGCCGAATTGGATTCACGAATAGGAAGAATTTTAATTTAGTATCTCAGTCTTTCTGCTGGGATGTTATATTATATCCTGCTCTGCTTTGGTTGGTCCTGACAGATTTGTGTCAATGGGGGTGTAAAAAAACCTTATTGGAATAGTCATCGTGTAACTCACGTGTAAGTCACAGTCAAGGGCATACTGTTATCTGTGGTAGAGTGGTTTTAGGTGGTAACAAATAGTCACTTATAAGCACAAGGGGGCTATCCCGAAAAATGCTGTTGTGAGAAAATCGAACCAAAGTTTTTGCCCCTTTTTTCAGTCTTTATAAAATAGGAGAGTTTTCTCTATAACCAAGCAAATATGCACACCAATGAAACCGAACTTCTCCTATAGGTAGGGCATTGTCCAGTTTTGGTGTAGGTCAAGATTTCTGGAAACTCCCGAAATCTGGCTTAGCTCACGCTTGTCCCTAAAAGCGACCATAATTGGCGTCATCATTTTGGATCCGTTCGGTTTTGTCGGTTTTGTTGGCTTGAGGCTAGCATGGTTGTCCTCCACTGGAAGACCGAAACCCACGAAACCTACAAAACCGGTGATAACTTTCTATAACAAATGCGTTTTTTTTGTGTCAAGGCCGCTCATACTCATAGGGCGATCGGTTTGGGCAGTTAATTGGTCTATTTTTAGTGTGTGCACTGAAGCCGCCTGAAACCGGACCGTGGGTGGTTGGCGGGTGCTCTGATGTGGTTTGCTTCTTCTTTCCTATCAAACATCTATCGGCTTTACCTGCCCTCCTTCTTTTTTCTGTTTGTTACTCTCTTGTAACTCCTCTAATCTTCAGCACTTATATGACCTTATTGTGTTGGAAGTGCCGTAAATGCTTACTAAAACTAAAGCCAAACCGAACCGGTCCTCCAATGGGCACCACCGACCTACTAAATCGAACCGAACCGTACTGAACGTGCCTATAGGCACTCCCTATTAGACTGTCTGCAGTATCACGTGAATGCGATTCTTGCGTATGATAGTCTTGTTTTATCAAGTATCAGTACATGTATATTACTATATACTCCACCTTTCTGCTCATGAAGGGGAACTGGATATTTTTCCTCCTTGCCTGGGTTGTCTCTGACAGATTGGGTCGATTAAGCAGCCGGCCTCCTAAATTGTCTATTTGCGTGTACATCAGTAGATAATGTTTATGAATGACTGGTTCGACTATTGGTATGAATGTCTACTGAAGAAAAAATACAGTAGGCATTGTTTATTTATAGTATGCATCATTCTGGTCGTACTGGGTATCGAAACAAGCTAAAACAACAACTAACAAACAGCAGACCATTTAACAGTCTTTTTGTAACTAATATGTAGTGGTCATTATAGTATTATAGGCAAGTCAATAGCTCAGTGTGTTGGTTTTGGGGAGTTTTCAAATGAAAATGAAATGATAATATAGGTTTAGCGCCCCTATCAACACTATTAGGATATTTTATTATTTAAGAGGCGGAACCTCCGAGTTTAACGTCCATTTAATATAGGTAACATAGGTAATATAGGTTAATATATAACGTCCAAGGATAATATAGGTTTAGCGCCCCTATCAACACTATTGGGATATTTTATTATTTAAAAGGCGGGACCTCCGAGTTTAACGTCCATTTCCGAAAGAACCGAGCCGAATTGGAAATTCGTGTAAAGTGTCTTTCCCAAGTACACAACGTCGGACCGAGCTGAGGCTCGAACAGGAAGTGTTCAAGGCTTGCAACCTTCTTGATTCTCGGCTCTTCAGAGATGGGAATTAAATTCAAAGACTTTGTCTTGAAAACGAAGAGAAAATGGTATAGGTTTGTGACACAGTAAGGTTATTCAAGAGGCGGAACTTTCGAATTTAATATCCATCTCCGATACGGCCAAGCCAGATTGGAAAATTAGTGTACACTACCTTTCCCAGGGCGTTTAGTCGGATGATTCTCACGATTACGAGTTCTGTAGCCTAACCGACGCCACTGCGCTGTCTATGTATTTAGTAACCTTTTTGCAGGACGTGTATTTATAAGGACGTTAATCTCATGTCGTACCATAGCAATGTATTTATTTGGGTTAAACTGATTGATTGGTTGATTGATTGTGAACTGCTATTTCCGCTTTGCCTTGATAGTCGAAGCAGACTTTGTGCTGTTGAGGCTAGAGAGTAAGCCTGATTCCCCGTTTATGCTTCTCTGTTGACCTCCACCCCTTTGCGCTCATATGACCGTATGCAGTTGCAAGCGCCTTCAAACCTTACTGAAACAAACATGATTGATTGGTTGAAGATTGACTAACTGGTTGATTGATTGCTTGATTGCTTGATTGATTGATAGATATATAGATTGATTGATTGATTGGTTGATTGATTGATTGGGGGGTTATAATATACTGTTGTACATATTCAGTTAAAATGTTTCTCTATTTCCAGAGAGCCAGCAGTGCAATCATCAAAGACAACACTCAGGCCAATAGAGAGTTCCGGCAAGCTTGGGGCCGCCGGACTGAGGCGTCGTCAGACTATGGGCCGGCCGTACACCACTCTGCCGTGTTCTGTCAGATCGAGATGGAAGTGGTGAGTAGCACTGATGCTGTTTTGTCTGTCTGTCTGTCTGTCTGTCTGTCTGTCTGTCTGTCTGTCTGTCTGTCTGT